GGTAGTAATTTAAATTTTCGGCGTTTTCTTTTAAACCGTTGATGCTAAAGCTTACAAAACTCGATACAAAAGGATTAAAACTATCATTTGCCATGTTTGAAGATACTGTAAAGATCTAACTTTTGCGCATCCACTGTTTACGGCTTCGTGTTCACGCATGAATTTTCACCCGTCAATCAAACTAATCGTTTTTTAATGGTTTCCTTTCTGATTCTGTTTAGATCACTTCGTGTGAATATACTAAAACAATTATTCACCTCAGGCTCAGTTAATATTGTTGAATAATCCCCTCGACTTCGTCTCGGGGATTATTCAACAATATTAACTTCGCCTTCGGCGAATAATTGTTAATTATAGTACATTCTGTGCCCAGTGGCAGATAGTAAAGCACTTTACCATGATGAAATTTATTAATTTGGCTGATAAACTAATCGTTCTTTTTAGGAGAACTCTATCTCTGAAGCTATATTACTCCTGTAATTTAAATTTTCATCTTTCCTTTGCTATTTTGTCGCAGGTGGTTGACATAGAAGCAAACACCATCGCTGTTGTTGGTCCAGCATTGAGTGGGGTAAATTCGCCCAAGAATTTTTTGAGCTGGTGAGGTTAGTGATTCAAAATTTATTTAGTATTGCAATGTAGGTACCACCACCACAATCTCAACTGCTTTGTGCCTTTTTTTTTGTAAAGCCTGGTGCGCAACAATAAACTTTTGGAAACATAATACTTAACACATGCACACCGGTGATTAAATATTAGGGCATTTTTTCTAATGTAAAGAAAAGAAGGATGAAGTTGGGAGCAGAATAGCGCTGAAAACCCACTGCCAATCGAATTGACACTCATCACAATACAATACTCTTGTATTTCCTTAGAAACTTTCTGTGCAACAGGGAACAACTAAAAGAAAGGCTGTGGAAACCTGGCGTGATTGAACACCCAATGCAGAGTGACTAAGAGTGACTGTGGTGTGTTTGTGTTAAAGGTTTGTGACATTGTTTTTTTAAGGGGAGGAACATGGGAAAAAAGCAATTATTCTGTTTTGTATTAATCACATTATTGTATCTGTAGATTGTGGGGTGCATTGCAAGGATTCAACATTCCATGTCACTTTTGACAAGGTAAGCACCCACAGTTATTAATTTTTATTCCAGGGATCACTTGCGAATATCAAAAACAAAACTTATTAGGTACTAACTAACCTTTAGAGGAATGAATTTACGAGTGAAGTCGTTTGAAAATAGATGTAAATTAGGTTACAATTTACTACCTGGTTTGGTGAAAAACAAGCTTTTTACTTATGTAGGGGCCCTGTGAGACCTCGCACAAAGAGCCTTGCTTCCCGATACTGTAGTCCTACTAGATAAAACTCTTTCAAACAACACTGTTCTCAACAGGCCATTCCTGTTTGTCTGTTTAGAATGCCTTTACCATTTCTTGTTGTCCCTGTGCTTGGGCCTTGACTGATAAAGCCAGGAGATGAAAAGTGTCTGGAAAGTGTGGACATGTTTATGTTATTATAATTATGGTCATCAGGCAATTGATAGTTAGAGTTACTTTTTTCTGCAGGTCCTGAATTGCTACTTTAAGGCTAAGGTGAAGCTACAGGGGTGCACAGTTACCTATAATAAACATTATTGGATGAGTTTTTTGTGATATTATCTGGAATAATCAAGGTCGAGGTAAGTGTTATCAGCCGAGCCGAAGGCCGAGGCTGATAACACTTAATTACTGACACCTTGATTATTTTGGATATCACAAAATCCGAATCTAATAATTGTTTTATTATGCATTGTTTTAAAATAAATAACAACAAATACACTGACTCACAGAAATGATTTGACCTTGCTCTTGGAAATCATTAACTGTAGGATCTTTAGCCAATGAGAAGAATAATAGTTAGCGAGTACAATGTATTATAATAATAGTAATTATTATTCAAAGAGTATAAAATTAGTACCAACGACAGTGGTGTGAACAGTTCTTCATAGCAAAAAATTAATAAGAAATCACCATGCCAATTAACCTTTTGTCAGATGCTGTCATGATTATGTTTTGTTCAAGCATCTCAGGGGAAAGTAATAGCTCATCCGTTAAAAGGCAGAAATAACAGATAATTGACTAAAATTGACAAGGAGAGTTTGTCCCTGCCGTTTTTCAGTCGGTTTTGTTGATAAATTCTGTCAGTTAGATAATAATAATTATTAGCTGGACCCCTCTCTAAGATGGACTTTTAGACCCTTGGGCTGTTCCCAGGGGTGATCAGCATCAAATTTCTCTGTTTAATATCAGTGCTTTGTAAAACAGAGTGGTCATGAGAATTATGGACATGATCACTTAAGATGAATTTCCTTCAGTTGATAATTTATAAACTTCTCCCTACTACTTCTGTAGGAAATTGAATAGGGGCAACAAATGAGAATTCAAATTTTGATCTTAGGGTTTAAAGGGTTAAAAAGAGTTAATTGTATCATTATCTCAACGTAGTTTTTGTCTCCATTTAGACGAATATTCTGGAACGGAATGGAAAAATAATATTGGAGTATGGCAAACACCTGCAAGAATGTACAGGTAATTTAGCTATAAAATTTGCATTTTGTCCTTCCTTGATTGTCATCAATCATGCAATGCATTGATGTAGTTTTTTCTTACAGAATTTACAACTACAGTCAAAGTTGGGTGGAAGACTGTCTTTTAAGCAAAACGTTTATCAATCTTTCAACTTAAGTTAATTAGTTCTATGTTTTCTCTTGTATGTTATACTTGCTTTGCCTGGTTAAAACACTGAAAAAGCTACAACTGTGAATTGCTTTTGATTACATCCCCACTGGTTTCTGATTGTTTCAGTGTGACTTTGCATTATTCTTATTGGCCAAAATGGAGCACTTTTTGCTCTACCTATTTGGGAAATTGACTTATAACAGCAATAGTATTTGGTGTTCGTAGAAGGCACAGTTTGTTTAAAATGTTCACAATGAAATTGACATCTAGCTGTGGTTGTTGTTTATCAGCCACAATCTCACAGATAATTGATAAGAGGAGTTTTTGTAATCAAGGCTTATTCTTTTAGCAAGGGTAACATCCGGCAGTGTTTGAAAGAGCAATCTTAAAAATGGCAAATTCAAAGAATAATTATTGTACTTTCACTATAAAGCATGGACAAATAGGGTATGAAATACACTAGATGCAGATCACAAGTGAAGTAGATGTAAGGGAAAGTATTAGCCAGGAAATCAGTAACTTCAGAGCAGTTTGTACTGATAATATTATTAGTGTTCCATGAAATACATAAATGATAATCTTTTGTAAACACGGATCTAGGTTAAGTGGAGGCCTCTTTTTACATTTTGCAAGTTTTCACAGTGGAGTTAGCTTATTCAAGGGCAGAGGCCCTTATTTACAGAGGAAGTCTTATGAAAGAAACTATGAAGTAGTAGTTTTAATGATGAAAACAGTACTTGGCAATTAATACAAGAATTTTGAACTCTAAAATATTGCCATTGTTACATTTATAAAGATGATTTTTGTTTTTTAGAGTGAAACTTGAGATTTTACTAGAAGTATGCAGTCATTGACTTATTCAGGATGAGTTCACCTAACATTATTAGTCTTTCAAAAAGTGCTTAAAAAGACTTGAGCGAGCTTTAACAACAATAAGAAAAATGTGTGAGTTTAATCCATAATGTGCGAGCAGTCCGATCCATGAAAGGTTTTTGAGCAAATTTTTACCCAATCATGCTATCAAACTTGGTCAAGGAATGGTTTGATAAACACATTCAAATTTATACTGTGCAAGTTGTTTTACCCCAAGCAGGCCACTCTTACTTCTATTAGTTTTCAAGTAGTGGTGATAGTTTTCCTATAAAAGAAGCGAAAAATCTGGTGCATGTATACATAAAGAATGTCATTCATATCCAAATAAATGAGCATCCAATCGAGCCCAGTCAACATTTTGTTGGCAGACATGAATTTGCTGTCTTGCAAAATGTTTATGTTTTGGCTGAGTGGAGTACAGGTTAGATGGTGATGAATGGCTGCTCTCATTCCAGTCAATGCACTTGGAGGTAATGCTTGGCCTTTCTCTGTTTTCACTTCAGCAAAGAACTTTCACAGAATTTCATTCAAGTCTGTTGGACTGTTTGGAGATCCACTGTAATTTTTCTTTTCTCACACTATTTCTCGAACTATTTAACTCCACTCTGTTGCTCTCTTGGTGTTTTTCACTTGAGTTTTTTGCTCAATTTCATCCAGTATTTATGCTCGTTGTTTAAGTGCGATTGGCGGCTTTTGATGAGAAAAAAGCTGAAAATTTGGTACTTTTTCCATTTTAAAATGAAATCTCCAAATGTCAAACATTCACTACAAAACTACAAAGTGAGCAAGTGCAAACTCCTCCTCAAAAATTCGTGCCAACTCTGGTATTGAAATGGTATCCTCAGGATCTCGTTGGCCGAGTGAAGCTGCATATTTGACATCTTTGCAGCCAATCAGAATCAGGGCGGCAAATTTATGCATTTTCAGCCCGCACATTTCCCGTTTGGCACGCAAAAATGGTTATTTTACAGAGGGCAGTTTGTCATTTGGCTAGGCATATTGATAATTATGTTTAACCTCATCATTTGGCAATGTATAAACTTATTTAAAGTAGAAAGAAAACATCAAAGTATCAGTGAAACCTCTACTTTTTAATGAAGTGGACATCCCTATTCAAAGGACTCAAACTTGGTTTGCCAAAAACAAGTTCACATAATCTTTTTAACAGTTAGCGGGAGAAAACAGCTGACATTTAGGGATGCCACCACTGATTTCCCCAGGAAATGACGTCTGAGAAACAAGCCCAGAAATTCTACACTGATGATGCATCACTACCAAGATCTGGTTGGTGCTCTTGATTGGTTAATTAAAGCAAATTTCCCAGGCAGCAGTTTATTATTGGTTACCTCTATTGAAGGGACACATCTGCTCAGGGTTCCAAAGGTGTCCATAAAATGAAGGTTCATTAATTTCATTAGTTTGGTAAAAGAAAAACATAAACAACAAGGCAAGAGTGAAACTATGAGAGATCAAGGTTGTTTAAGGTAGACAAGATACGAGCATCAGCCACAAGAAAGTCAAATAATAGCCAATCATAAGAGTGTATGTGACTAAATAGTTGCTTATAATTAATGGAAAGGGTGCATGTGGAAGTTTCTACCAACAACCAAAAAGGCAAGAGTAAACATTATGAAAGATACAGGTTGTTTAAGGTGGATGAGATGAGTATCAGTTTCAACAAAATAAAAAATAGGCAGTCATAAGTTCCTTTTAATCAATTGAAAGGGTGCACATGGAAGTTTGGAGAACAACAACAAAAAGGCAAGAGTAAACTATGAGAGATAAAGGTTGTTTTAGGTGGATGAGATGAGCATAGGTTACAACAAAATAAAAAAAATAATTGGCAATTGTAAGAGTGCATGTGATTGATAACAGTTGCTTTCATGGAAAAGGTGCACTTGGAAGTTTGGACAGCAACAACAAAAAGACAAGAGTATTTAACTAATTGAAAGATGAAGGTTGGTTAAGGTGGTTGAGATGAGCATTGGTTACAACAAAATAAAAAAAAAATAGGCAATCATAAGAGTGCATGTGATTAATAACAGTTGCTCTAATGGAAAGGGTGCACTTGGAAGTTTGGACAGCTACATCAAAAAGGCAATGGTTGTGAAAGATGAAGGTTGCAGTTTAAGGTGGACAAGATGAGCATCGGTTGCAACTAAATCAAAAATAGGCAATCGTAGGAGTGCATGTGATTAATAAAAGTTGCTTTAATGGAAAGGGTGCACTTGGAAGTTTAGACAGCAACAACAAAAAGGCAAGAGTATGTAACGTTGAAAGATGAAGGTTGTTTAAGGTGGCTGAGATAGCACTGGTCACAACAAAATTAAAAAAGTAGACAATCATAAGAATGCATATGTGATTAATAACAGTTGCTTTATGGAAAGGGTACACTTAGAAGTTTAGACAACAAAAAGGCAAGAGTATTTAACTTTGAAAGATGAAGGTTATTTGTTTAAGGTGGGCAAGATGAGCATCGGTTGCAACAAAATCAAAAACAGGCAGTTGTAAGAGTGTAGGCGATTATAGTGAGTTGCTGTGAATAAATAGGCACATGTCTATAAGTGAGTGAGAAGCTCACTGCTACTTCATGAATGTGATGAAGATTTTTGGCTTCCCGTGTGATTGAATTTTACATGCTTGACAACTGCATGCTGGTTTTTTTTTGTCGTCGGAGTGATCACAAAAGAAATATCTGCTGTCATTACTTGGTTTATGGAAATTGTAAAATTGTTCGAAAATTTAAAGCATCTATGCTGCTGTACTATGGATCATGTTTTTTGTTACATTCTTCATTGGGTTCTTTGAAACAATTTCTCATGTTTCTTGAAGTTTAATTTTGGCAAATTTCTCCTGTTCTTGGTCGATTATGACCATTAAGGCATTATGTCAAAAACTGTAAACCATCTATACCAAACTGTGATAGAACTAATAAATTGCATACGTTGGAGAGTAGTGTAGGGTAATTTTGTGAGCCATTGTCAGACCTCTTTATTCTATTTGTGCCATGTAAATGGATAATTTTCTCTTACATTGTGACTCATGATTTTATATTTATTGTCATGCAAGAGGGAAGTGTTTCTTCTGTTCTGTGGAATGTGGAAAGGCCTCATAAATATCTTTGAAAACGGAACAACTCGCTGTCTTAAAAATAAAGGGTGCTATCTGTATCTGCATAGAACCATTCAAAATTAATGCAACAGTTAAGGTCCATTCAACTTGATTTAATATGATTGGTTTTCTGAGATATATAATATGTTGGTTCTGTATACAATCAGCGACAAAATTGTTGAGACTTAAATGGAGTAACTTCGAAGAACAAATTGGTTTCCCTGAGAAATGACGTCTGGAGAAGGAGTGGAGAAATTCCATACTGATGATTTGTCGCTACCCACGCAGATCCGATCTGGGAAGTGCTTTTGATTCATGGCAGGTTGAAGCAAATTTCCCTCATGGTGTGACCAATTTTTGAAGAGCTACGTATACTTAATACAGGTCTTGGTAGTGACATGTTATCAGTATGGAATTTTTCTACTCATCCCACTAACATCATTTTCTGGAAAACCAATGGTAGTCTAGTGAAATGTCACCTGTTTTCCTTGGGCTAAGTTACGCCTTTTAAGATAACCTTTTTGATGCAACAAATCACACTTCATGGTCAAGTCATAAAGTATGCCAATGACAACAGTTATCTCTTCTTGCAAATCTTCTTGCACAAATCTCTCTAAAAGCTGATATAATGACATGCCCTGATTCCACATCAGCAATCAGCTGCCATTTTATTCGACCTACGTAACAAAATATATAGGGTATAAAGTGTGTATATTACTGTAAAACTCGGAAAACCATGAACACCTGAAAAATTTCAGGAATGTTGATTGTGTACTGGCCAATCACAATAAAGTTTAGGACACGCAAGCACGCAGAATTAATAAAATCATCACAAAGGAGGACATTCTTTGATCTTTTATCAAATTCTCTAAACTAA